AATCAAAATGTCTGTATAACAAATTGTAAGAATAATATTTCAAGTCGCACCATTTTATGCCTGACGGTTTTTGAGAAATTTTTAAAATAACCGTGCAAGCGTGACGTCACAACCGCTCGGATACCGTAGACTCAGAGTAAAAAATCCTACGATTCACCTAAATACGGATTGACTCAAATAGCTGAAACGAAACATGGCTTTGGTTTTGAACCAAAGTACCATTGTCACCAAAAGTAACTGGGACAGCATCATATTAGCTCTTATATTATTATCACTATTATAATATGAATTTTATTGTCAAACTATGAATCAAATGCATTGAAATGAATGACAGTAGAATTAGTCCAGGAGATTATCATGCACTATTTTTGTCCCAGCCAGATACTTTTGGTGACGATAGTACATATACAAAAGCAGAATCTGCTGGGCTCCACACGCGAATGTGACGTCACGTCTACGTTTTGTTGCAAACACTAAAGACTGATAACTTTTGATATAAATCCGGCAGAAAGGCGAGGTTTTCGATGTTGTTCTTTGAGTTTTTTTACATATCATAAACCAGATACGTATTTTTGGTTTACATCCCATAAGCTTTTTTTTATATGAGCATTTTACAGCTTTTGTCTACTTCATCTTCATTATTTTTCTATTTTTCCCTGATGCCTTGGGGGGAGGGCCGGGCCCCCTGGCCCCCCCCTGGCTGCGCCACTGTACTAAACTAAGTGTTCTTTGTAAATCTACTTGGTTGACTATGCCAGACTTCGTATATGTTAAACTTAATTCTAATAGGTAACATTTTCTTGGCAGTAGCCTTACCTTTCACCATCTCGAGTGTATTATCAGCCAAACTATTCACTATCAAGTTACGAGCCATCACATCATCCTTTTTAAACTTTTATGTACTCAGATCTTGTCTAACAGATCATTTTCCAGGATCCCCTAAACTCCATGATCCTTTCCCATCAAATGATTTTAGTTGTTCTTGGGTACTGTTCGCCATGACTGTTTACACCTATTTCTTGTCTTGATATACTGGATAAGTTCGTCCTCACTGTAATTGTAATCTTTTGTGTTCAAGGTTTTCCAATTCACTTACACCCTTTTTCAGATTTCAGCCTTTCCAGTCAGCTTTATCTGGGCCCATAACCTTTTGACTATCTACCTTCCTCTACACAGACCAAGAAGCAAGAATAAACTATGGATTAACCAGTTTAGTGTCCTCTAGCTTCTAGCATTCAAAATAAACAGGCTAATTTCCAAGAACAGTAAAAGCATTTCTAATATAAACAATCAACAATAAATACCAACTGTGACTTAGTAACGATTATTACGATTATTAGTTCGTTTTTCTAAAACAAAAACTACATCAACTATATCAATCTAACCCTAACCTAACTAGAACATTGTGCATTCAGAAAACTTAATCTGTTGGAATTTTTTACTCCAAAACTGAAAACAAAAACATGTTTAAAAACATACTTGACAAGCACCACAATGAAGTGAGAACCAACTTTGTCACGTAAATGTAGATCGGTGAAAACTGTTCTCCTACTGTGAACTGAGAAGTAAAATGTAACTTTCTAAAGATAAGCGCACACCGACACGGGACTGCGGTAGCGAGAGCGGGAACGGGAGCGATGCGTTAGGTGCGGCAGCACACCAACGCGATAATTTCCGCCATACTCGAAACACGTGGTAGCGTCCAAATACATGAAAAAACATCTTCAAGCTAATGTCTGCCCAGCGACTTTGTGTCTACGGGGCAACGGTAAGGGGAATGCAGTAGTAAAAAAAAATGGCTGATTTCATTCATAAAATACCCAGCTGCGTGCGGAACTTTTTGGAAGTGTTATCGAATTGCAACTCGTGCACGAAAATCGACAATGACCAAACCCCCGCCACTGGATATTTCAATATAAATCGATATTCCAAGATGGGAGGATAAAATGACGGAAGCCCTAGCCAATAGCGAGACGTAAGGTGACATTATAGCCCATTGACAACCGCATGGTTCCCCGTGGCAACGGCCATCCTGCCAGAACTCACGAATCAGGTTCATCCAGACTTGATGCTTGCCAAATTGTCAAAAGCTGATGGTATCTTTAGAAAATGTTTATTTTTTACAATGGACAAAATTGAAGAAATCAGTTATTAACATAAGAATAGATCTAACAACCACGTTGAAATATTTAGCGTTATATTTGGTATCTATATTTTGTTATTAAAAAATGGATTTTCAAATGAACTATACTTCATGCCTAGTATTTTCGCTTTTTGATAATTAAACGTGGCAACATCGCACATTTACGTCCGAATTCCTTTCGTAGACTCAGAACCGCTGGGCAAACAATACTATGCGAACTGCGGGAAAACGCTGCACGCTACGAACCGAAATTAATTCGCACACATCCCGCAAATCGCATGCGTTCTCTTCGTACCGGTATGCACTCTTTCATATCTCGCCGTTGATTTACGTCCCGCAAAAGTTTCGTTCCGGATCCCGCTCCCGCAGTCCCGCGCCGGTCTGCGCCTAACTTAATGGAAAACAACATCATTCCACCTTCACAGTATGGATTTTGCGGGGTCATTCAAGAATAAACTGCATGGTGATCTCAGTTCATCATGCTGTGTCTAAGGATCACACGTTTTATGCACCCGTGAAACAAACTTCCGAACCTACCGTATACAGCAGCTCCAACGATTTTACCGCTTTTTCGTTCTTAAAAATTTAAGTTTTTTTCTCATCGGTTCCTATTCAAATAATTTGACCGCAACATCCAATTCTCCCATTGCCGAATCAAGATTTTATCGTAGCATTTCGATTAAATGGCACGTTTAAACCTAAAATATATAGCCATTTATGAATGCCCCAATTTCACTCGGTGAATATCATTTAACACTGAACATGAAGTTACTTTCCATCAAGGCATCAATGGCCAATTAGATATAAATCGCATCGGTGTAAATGAACAGGGAATTACCGAACGGGATGGAAGTGATCTTGATGGTGAATTTATTATCAAACATAGTTTAAATAATTTAAATAATACCGAGGTTCAAACCAAATATGAATAGAACACTGCGTGTTTTCAGAGTAAAGACCGGACTCTGAATATCTTGCCTTCAGCTTTCTTCCACATAGGAAGGCAAGAGTAGGCATTTGATTAAATACTTCCATAATAACCAAAAAAAGTCCTTGATTGATCCTAATAAAATTAGATATTTCTAAATGAAAAATCATTGAAATATTAGGTGGACTGAGACTAGGTTGAGCAGTGTATCTACGATCGGCTACCTTCGGCTCTCTCATCTGCTATCTTTCGTCTGCTGTCTTCACACATGTCTGAAATTACCTTCTCATCGATTTTATATTTATAGTTACAATAATTGGGGTTCCTGCAATTGAAGTACCGACAAAAGGAAACATCTTTTCGGAAAATTGGTGTGTACAGGACATTGGTTGTATAATAATTCCAGCCGGCATTCTCTTTTGAAACCTACTGGTTCACAACAAAAGCAAAATGTTAAAAGTACAAGACAAAAATTAGACAGAAGAAGGAAAAAGAATATAGGTACCTACCAAACGAGAGAAAGAAGTAAAAACAAGTTAATTATTGAGCGGGAAAACTAGAGGACTAAGTAAAATACCTCAACGATATAAACTTTATGTCATTTGATGCTATGTTCTTTGTAGATGGAGTTACAGAAAGTGTAGAGGAAATAATGAATAGCATTTTCTCATCTATGTTTCTCCGTCATTATATAATTATTAGAATTATTTCAATCACATAATAGGGACGAGGGACTAAATATTGTGCCACAAAGACCAATTTTCAAGAGCCCATAACTCCGAATCTATTGCACTGATACGCAAAAGTAATAGAACAACCCAAAATAAGGGGGTGTTTTTTTGGATACACCACTAAGTAGTTCTATTTGAAAAAAAATCAAGTACTTCCTAATGACTGAGGCTAAACTAAAAATAAAAAATATAATGAAACACGTGTCTGATTTATTTATGGCAAAACATTGTCACTTTTCTCGTAGTATTTCGTCAGACATTATAACAAAGCAAAACGCCTTCATTGTATGTAAATAACTTGATTTGTTAAAATAGAATTTACCGGTGTAAAGAAACTGTTAGGTTGCTGATGAAGTTATTTAATAATTCCAGTAAAATCTCGGAAAATTCTATCAACGTATATCTTTTGACCTCTAATCCTTTTGAAAAAAAGCTTGATTCTAAAAAATATTCATAAAAAAAATCATCTTAAAAACCATTTAAAAACCATCCCAAATCCCAAAAAGCTAATTAAGCAAAACGGGAATTATTAATGAAATTCTCGGCACAAGCGCCAGCGACACAAATAACCTTCTTAGAATTAGACTATTTTTCTCTGGTTATGGAACAAAGGCTGGAAAAAATGCTTTTTATGGAAAATTTAGTCCAAAAGCGTAAAATAAATTATTTCGGGGTTTATCCTGACTTCAAGTAATTTCCAGTATACAAGACTTTCGTATGTAATCTTAGGAAATGACACCCTTAAATTTTCTTAGAGGGCTTAGGTTTGGACGTTTAGTATGAAAATTTTGGCATAAATATCTTGGTAAAAAAATAAACTATAACTAGCACGTTCCAGGTTAAATCGTACAATGGTTCAAATAAGAAGAAAGTTGGTTCTTTGCAGGATTATTGAATTTATTTAGGAAGGTGAAATTTACATTTTTGTGAAAATTGTTAGTTGAACAAAGATCTTAAAGATTTTGAACTAAAAAATCTACAAGTTTAATTTTCCAATTCTCAACTTACTAGATATTCCTCTATTATAATTATTTCTCTATTATAAACGAAAGTTCAATAAACTCGCCCTAAGCTTAAATTGGAAAAATTACCAAACAAAAAAAAAAAAACTCATAAATATTTAATAGACTGTATCGAATTATTGTTCTTCGGTTTACATAAATCACTGCTTTAGATTAATTAATACACGGGTGGAATATTTTAATTAGACAAACGGTTTACGCATTCAGTAGGTAATTAAGTTGAAACAGTAACAACTGATTTTCATTTCAGTTTTCTAGCATGTTGTGTGGGGTACTTTGTTGAAATGGAAAATAAAAACTCAATTAAGAAGTATTTCAAAGGTAAGAATTATGTATTTTATGCTATAAGTATGTGCATTTTTATTTGCTGAACTAATCGCACAGAAAAAAAGCATTGGAAGGTCACACCTGAATTAGTTCAGTCAAAAAAAAAATGTAGGTAACTTTTAATGCAACTATTGATTTTTTTTAGGGAAAAACATCTTTCTAACTGGAGGAAGTGGGTTTTTGGGTAAAGCCCTAATCGAAAAACTACTACGATCGTGTCCTGAATTAGGTACAATTTATATTCTTTTACGACCGAAAAAGGGTAAAGGGCTTCAGGAGAGGCTTGAAAATATTACATCATGTCCGGTAAGTTAAAGAATTTTATATACTATGCAAATTTGTTGGCTTCCTCATGATCGTAATAAACTAATAGTCCGATAATTCTGATTTACATGTCGGAGAAACTAGCAACACATTGAAAGCAGGACCTTTAAGATACATACAGGGTGTTTCACGAACATCGAAACACAGGCGTTTTGGGGTAGATATTTTAAGGTCGATTAAAAAAAAAAACGTTCGGACACGTCAATTTTATATTCAAGTGGGAAAGTTTTTTTGGTATTTTGCTAGGGTGCACCCCCTGGGTGGGGTGACTTTCACCACTCTTTTTCAGATAGGAAAGATGGGTGGAGTGGTACCTTGTTTTAAAGGTATTTTGATTCTCGTCACAACTTCGTATTTTTTTCGAAAATCGAATAATTAGTTCTCGAGATTTTCACTCTCAAAGTTGCTATAGGCTAAATGAGAAACAATTTTCTGGCCCTGTTATTCTCAAATTAACACTTTGCCTGACTTTTCTCTCAGACATGTCAATTTTAATTTTTTCAGAAGCACACAAAAAATGGAAATTGACGTGTCCTGGAGGGGAGAGTTATGACGAGAATCAAAATTCCTTTAAAACAAGGTATCACTCGACCCATCTTCCCTATCTAAAAAAGAGGGGTGAAAGACACCCTACCCAGGGGGTGCACCCTAGCGAAATACCGATGGGGTCAAAAAGTTTCCCCCTTGGATAGAAAAATGACGTATCTGAGCGTTTTTTTTTTTAAATCGACCTCAAAATACCCTAAAACGCCTCTGTTTCGATGTTCGTGAAACACCCTGTATATTATCTGCTTGTGCTGCTATATTACTGTTTTGTCCTACTTCAAGTTCAAACCGTAACCCAGCAGCAGCCACCGTTTTCGGAATATATCGATTTCCAGTTTGGTTGCTGCATGTTCCTGCTTGTACTGTTATGGTCTTGCCTCATCCTACTCCAAATCTGAACCGGCAATATGTAATATTCTCGAGATACAGCGATTTTTATTATGGTTGCTAACTTCGACCTTGGCAACACACAGAAAGCAGGATCGCTGCAACATGTTCCTGCTTGTGTTGCTATGGTGCTTATGCCCCATTCTGCTTCAAATTCCACCCCGGCAACACGTACTAAATGCCAGATACAGGGATTTTTATTATGGTTTGTAACGTCACCCTTGGCAACACATTGGAAGAAGCAGGATCGCTCAAACAAGTTCCTGCTTGTGTTGCTATGGTCGTGCCCCATCCTGCTTCAATTTTCACCCCAGCAATACCTGATTTTTTCGAGATACACACTGGTAGCATGACAAGAGTTTACTCGTAGGAATTGGAAGAGATCGAAATCGTTGCCAAATGTATCGTAATGAGTGCTAGTCTTTGTATGTTGGTACTTGGCACTTTAGACGAAAAGAGATAATCTAAACTAACCCGTCCTCTTTGTGTGTTGGTATTTTCGACAGAAAGAGCTAATCCAAATTGACCTGTCCTCGTTATGAATGCTATAGTCTTTGTGTGTTGGTATTTCAGATGGAAAGAGCTAATCCAAAGTAACCCAAACTAAACCGTCCTGTTAATAATCTAAAAAAATCCCAAAAAAAAACTTGAAAAAAATAAATTCGGGTCCGTTTGCGCCAAGAACCAAGCGTATTCTAACTGGGCCACCATGCCTCAACCTCAGCAAGTTATCATATAAATCGAAGTAATAACGTGCGCAACACATTACCTACCTATAACGATACATTTGGCAACCGAGGATGCTCCTTGGGTTCTCCATATTCCTGCAACTAGACTCTTCACTTCCAGATGCCATAGATTGTCAAAAATGTCATCTTTTTGCTCCTGAGGATATTACCAAACTGTCCTTATGTTAAATTACGCTCAACAGTTTCTCTGTCTTGCTTGGCTGAAGTCGATTCGTGCCGACTTTACCCGAATGAGCCTCACATAGCCGAGCGTGACGGGAAAAGTTATTTTTATTGATTACCCAGGAAAAAGTGTGCTGAATTCGCCTAAAGAAATTTCCACATCAGAAACTGTGCTTCATTGAGGACGCCGGAAATTGCCTTATAGTCCAAGAGCCCAGAGTCGCCAGGCCAACCTATTTTCTAAAGGACAGAATATGTGGGATTGAGTAGCACTTATATGTACAGGGTTATTGGTTATAAATGTCACCCCCCTCTATCTTTTTTATTTGACATTTTAGAAAAAAGTATCCCAAATAAAAAATCTATGGTTGAAATTAAATTTTTTGGAAAACTCACTTTTGCATATACAGGGTGTTCCAAAAAAGCTGGTCGTGCTCCAACTTTCTTATTTTAAATTGAATACCCTGTATATTATTCAATATTCGGATTCTACATCAAATTCTGAGCAGATTTCATGTGATATACCCTATACCTAAGTTTAACTGTTTTGGAAATATTGACAGTTGAAAATTGACTTTTTTGTAAATTTGACAGGCTGTAAAACCTAAACGGTTAACTTTTGAGCAAAACCAATCTTAAATTTTTTTCTAAGATTTTCACAAGTTATCATTTGACACCAACTTTGAAATTAATCGAAGATTAAATTTAATTTGAATTTTCAATCATGGATCAAATTCAAAGTTGATGTCAAATATTGGTGTCAACTGATAGTTTAAAAATATCTAAGATAAAAATGTAAGATCGGTTTTGCTCTAAAATTAACCGTTTAAGATTTACAGCCTGTCGAAGTTGCAAAAAAGTCAATTTTCAACTGTCAATATTTCCAAAACAGTCGAACTTAGGTATAGAATATGCCATATGAAATCTGCTCAGAATTTTACGTAGAATCTGAATATCCAATAATATACAGGGTATTCCATTTGAAATAAGAAATTTGGAGCACGACCAGCTTTTCTGAAACACCCTGTATATGCAAAAGTGAGTTTTTCAAAAAAAAATATTTCAACCATAAAACTTTTATTTGGGACACTTTTTTCTAAAATGTCAAATAAAAAAGATAGAGGGGGGTGACATTTATAACCAATAACCCTGTACTATGAACGTATGTAGGTATACCCGCTAAGTTGGATATTAGACGGCCAATTTACCGACACCAGGTGCGAAAGCTGAGAAAAACTTTAGCTTTTTTTCTAACACTTGATTTTTATAATAATATATGTTATTGGGGAAACTATTTTATAACTACGTGTACGCAGCCAGACCAATCGCACCGGCCAAACATCCCCCCAGAGGCAATAAAAAAATATCCGGAAGTGTGTTTGAGAGTGAGCGGGATATCTATGCCAACTGATTTTCCCCTCTCAAATTTACAGTCTACTTTAGGCTAGAGTAGAAATGGGCAAAAACCGTTATTTACAAATAGGTAGGTAACAGTTTCAGCTGTTACTATTATTAGGTTTGTTTCTGCAGAAATCACAAATCAGTCAGAGTGAATTTCATTGGATGAAATTAGTTTTCTGACTGTTTCTGACTGTTTTCAACCAATGAAATTCGCTCTGACTGGTTTGTGATTTCTGCAGAAACAGACCTATTTTCAATTGGCCTCTACCCAACTTAGCGGGTATACATATGTTCATAGTACCTATAAGTGCTACTTAATCCCACATATTCTGTCCTTTAGAAAATAAGTTGTGTCTGGCGGCTCTGGGATCTTGGACTATTATGAAAAACAACAAATTCTGTCACATTAACATAATATGAGTACACTCAATGAAATAATATGTTAGATTACGCTTAACTGATTCTCTCTGTCTCGCTTAGATGAAAGCGACTCAAGCTGACTTCTCGCGAATGAGCGTTACATAACAGAGCGTCACGCGCTGGCTCAATTTCATTCTCTACCACTACCCAGGAAAAAGTATGCTGGAGTGCGCCTATATAAAAAAAGGTTTCACTCCAAAAAGTTGCTTCTACTAAGATATGTCGTTCAATGGCAAAATTGCTTAATTTTTTACCCAATAAAATGCATCAGTGTTAAAATCTGAAATTTCCAATCATTTCCGTAGATATTCGAAAAATTCAAAGTTTTGCAAAATCGATTTAAATTTTTCTCCAAGTTTATTTGAAGAAATATTTAGGAATAAATGTTACATCATCACAATCGACGTTTTGTCTAAGTTAAGTCCATCATTAGGGGTAAAAGCAGGAAATCTCGCAAATTTGGTGGAACGGAAATATTTGACTTCTAATTTTACCACCATTCTGACCTTTTCCAGGTATGGTAACAATAATATGGTTGGTTTATTAGCATTTTAAAATAAGTACCTACCTAGGTACACAAAAAAGCAAATTCCACATCTTTTTGCACTCGACTGTTACACCCAGAACAAGTTTAGGTTATGTCAAAACCGTTATAGTTCCAAAGCCATATCTAGTGGAGGCAGTTGCGATGTGTTATGCCAACAGAGCCAACAGAAATCTGTATAAGGAAAAGGTAGATGCTGCTGGTTTGGAGTTTAAAGTAGTATAGGAAGCACAAGCAGGAACGTGTTTCAGCCTTAGCGATCCTGCTTTCAATGTGTCGCCAATCGCCAATCGCCAAGGATGAAGTTGGCATCCAAAATAAAGATCGCTATTATATTATTGATATACAGGCCAAGGTGTTTTCAAAATGGCGCATAAACTCTCCACTACCAAGGATAATACACACTACTATAAGGATTGCTTATCGGCCTCGTTTTTGGTAATCGCCGCCATATTGGTGTATCACCATTTCCGACGTCGTTAACTAAGTCGTCGGCTGTTTGCGCCAGCGGTCGTAATATAGAATTTAAATTTATGACGAAAATTATTATTTAATTTTGATTAACATAATAGGTACTTAAATAGGAATGTAAAAAATAGTTGCTTAAAGACGTTAATCAATATAGTTAAACCAAGTATGCATAAAACAAAAGCCCGCGGAATCATAACCTGTGGTGCAAACACCCTACATCAGGGCGAGAAACGACATGCTGCCTACGTCACAACTGATGATTCGGCGTGGCGGGGGCTTCAGCTTTGTTCTACACAGGCCTT